TGAAAGTATTTCCTTCTCTCTTATTTTTGAGTTTGGAAAGATCATTGCATTCTGACAGTTAATTTTCTAGAACAGTAGTTGTCATAACTTTTTCAAATGAACTATACCATAGTACTCTTGAGAATAAAAATATGAATTGTATATGGGTAATTGTCAAAGAATTCATTTTCTGTAATTGATATAATTTCTGTATTAGTTATACAAACACTCTTACTTATACTCAGATATAGTTTTTAACTTGTTGTTGCTGGCCTTATTCTATAGTAAGAATTACCTTCGGATATCATCCCCAACATGAATGTATAAAGATATCTGTGAATGTATTTCATTATCACGACAATACATCATCTTATAAATTTCTTATATCCCTATGGATCTTATTAACAATAAAATTATTACGTTAACATTAGGATAAGTTCTATTACATGAAAGTATTTGCAGACGCGTAACAATCGATAATATATTTTGTAAAATCTTGTATTAAACATCAATAAACAAAACAGCAACCATTAGATAATTATTTTATCAATCTTTTTTTTTCTACAAGGATAAGACAAAACAGAAAGAACCTATTCGTTTTTATGAATCTATGATTATATTACTGTTGTATTTATTTGTTTTTTGAATTGTTTCTAAGAACACTTTTAAAGTGGTATGATGGGGAATATTTGATTTTTCTTTTATGTTTTTTTGACAATACTTTCTTAATAATATTCTTGCATTTGGTTTAATCATCATGAAAGTTTGGGAAATGTCATATCAATCCTTCGTATATTTATAGTTCTTGAGGTCTTGAATATGTTAATTTATGCTGTTTTGGCTGTATTGTTGTTAAAACACAAGTTTTTTGAGAATCAAAAGTATTAGGGTGTTGTTTATATTCTGTTTATATCTATTTAGCTAGTATTAATTCCTCACGTTTTGTAAATAGTATTGAAGCAAGATATCCGATTTCATGAATACCTTAATATACAATCTTGTGATGAGAAGATCGACCCAAAACATTACAAAAACTTATAAATATCTACAGTTGTAATTATATATAAATAAAGAGTTGTTACAAGTTCTCCAGAGAAGTGATCTTTATTTATATTTCAAACCACAGTGCTAAGAGACCTGTTTTAATAAATAAACAACAATAATAATATTTGTTGATTGTCTAACTTACAAATATGGAAAAATTATGCTAGGCTCTAAAGGTTCATTATGAGTACTTATTTATTAAGTTGTAACTATTTAATCCTCGCGTGTGATGTTCTGAAACATGATGAGATAAGAGAAATGATGTTGTCAATAATACAAATTAGAATGTGTGAGTTTTTGTAGTCGATTATCAAATAATCCACGTAGGAAATTTTATATCAAAGCTCACTTAAAGAGGTCTTTGATCCAGTTTGATAGATTGTAGGGATAATTATCAACATTGGATTATGATATAGTTGAGTCCAATATAATATAATTAGACAATATATCGTATGTTCACAAGATCTTTTTTGTTAAAAACTGATTTTGGTAGATCGTTGGTAATTTTTTTGAAAGAAGTAAAGTTGTGAAAGATCAATATGTATTTAATAATAAATACAATATATACTATTTGCATGGGTTTTCAATAAACGAGAAATCCAATTTACTAAATACTTAAAACATAACAACGTTAGACTTTAAGTCTACTATAGTTCAGGAGATACCATATTAGCATCCCTGAGACTCTAATCCCAAATGTTAAATCTACAAAACTATATTTCCATAAACAATTAAGATTATTTAAATTAAATATCATTTTAAATATTTTCATAGGATAAATGCTTGATCATAAACAGTAGAAAGATGGTATAGTGTTTAACATAAATCTATTTATCAAAGTCTTCTTTGAAATGAAAAACGTAAGCAGATTTTTCAAATTTGTGGCTTTCACTGCATATAGAACATGTAGATTGTTTTTGAATCGATCTTGTTTTCTGGAAAATAATTTTGTATTATTAGGCATAGAATATTTCTCATAATTCTCTAAAAACTGTCCAAGATATCTTTTCCCATGAGTAGAGCAAAAATTATTTCCCATGTCAAATGATTATATGAACAATTTATATTTAATCCACCAACTATACCAAGGTAAACAAAGCAATGAGCTCTTTCTAAAAAGTTTCTGAAACATATATATCACTATCTCTTTCTTTAAATCACAAAATATGAGTGAACCACAATTTTCGAAAGAATAAAAATAACAACGATAGAGTCATTTGTTTTCTGATAAATAGATCAATAAATTTAGACCATTCTCTTTTCATGTGTAAGATATAGAAACAATGTAAACAACGTAAACTTAATACACTGGATTAATATGATCCATCAATGGTTATTTTATCACATCTTATATTTGCAGCTACATTTCTAGGTTTATTATGGTAATATCATCTAGTAAATTTTATTGCTCTTTTAAACCTATAACATACAATGTTATTTACTGTATCTGCTATCATGATATCAACATGTATCGTTACTAGAGATTTATACATAGTAGACTAAGTTCATATCAACCACTATTACTTTCAATTATGTTTTTATTCTTAAACTGCTTACTTCATTTAGACATTAATAACTGGTAGATTGTATGGTATCACTCTTAAACTATGAACTCCTCATTAATATACAACTTCTCTTGATATTATGTCTTAGACAAGAACGATACTGTACAAACATATCACACTTAATTACTCTTAGCATCAGCCATCATTTTCTTTTAATTACCCACCAATCTCATTTCATTCAAATTTCAATTGTCAATCTTCCTTTTTTCAAAATCTGAAAAAATAGTTCGAAAAAAAAATCAATTACAATAATAGCCACTCTCATCGACAACCAAGCATATAAGTAACCAACTTTACTTATAAATAGCCAGTTATTATCTACCTTCTTTACATATTCATATGATATAATATTGAATATTATCAAACAGTTATTTAACATGGCATAGTTACACCACTGTATACCTAATAATCATTTATATTTGACTATCAGAAATAACCTCATAATGACTTACTCCATGCATAGACTGTGACTATGGAAGATATTTATTGACAAACTATGACCATTTTTTGTGTCACTACCACTTTTATTATGAATATAACTATTAAAGTATACTCCAATAACACATGAACACCATCCCTTACTAATATTTTCAATATGAAAAATATAATTATATCTTCTATATCACTTCATTATCCATCGAATGATACTGTTATAATAATTTATGATCATATGCAATACTCTTTTGAAATTAACACATAATGATAACTGTTATAAACATAAATACAATTATGCTATATCCATAAACAAATTTACTATATCATCTTTTTACTCATATCTTACAGGATATTTATCCTTACTAATTCCAATCTATTATACATGGATTTGATTTATGTTTGATTTCTAGTGGTTATTGTAATGATGAAAAAGGACATATTGATTTGATATAATGAATAATAGTTTGATTACACCATTATTTCATTCTACTGTATTACTTTCCCTGTTCAATAATTTCTGTTGTGTCTTTTATTCAGATGATCTTATTTTAATGTTTGACAAGATAATATAATAGAGAGAAATTTTTTCTTGATCTTTGAACATTGAACAATATTGAAAAAGAAATTGTAGTGGAGTATTAACATGAAAATCTATCAATTTACTATTCAGGAAATCTACTTTCTTTAAGAATTAGTCTGACATTATTATGACTGGATGTTTAATACTGTGTATGGATCTCTAATTGTAACCAAGAGTCATGAGAAGATATTGAAATTCAATATAAAAAAAATAATAAGAGTTTAATTCCATTATAACTTTAAAATAACAAGACATACTTTATCTATGGATTAACATTTGCAAAAATATGAATATGTTCTAATATTGTTACATGTTCCTTATTTAAAAAGAAAGTTCTCATATTATTAAAATCTTGGGATAATTGTTATTACGATATTTTTCAAGTGTAGAGGGGAAATTTTCTTGTCTCTTTTGAAACTTTGAAATCTCTACATCCAGCAAAATACAAGAAGAGATGCCATATATTTATAGAACAAAGGGTATCTATATTACAATATAATGCATATCTGAATTATTTACGTATAATGCTCTTAACATAAATAGTAAGTACAATATATCATCAGTGTGCAATTATGGGTATTTGAAAAATATCTTGACACCTCATTTTCTTATACTTTTTTTTGTGTTAATCAAAAAAACTTTCATTGCTTTGAATATTGTCGGAGTAATTTTATGGTATCTTTCTACTATTCGTGTGAGAATAATAGTTTTTCAATACTTTATTTCATTTAGGGTCAAATATGATGTTACAAAAATAAAAGAGGTGGAAGTGGAATCATTAGTCAAAAATGAAAGTAATAAGAGTTAGCATATTTATGTAAATGTACATATATATATGTAGTTAATTGACTTAAGGGGCAATAGTGTTATCAAATTAGCATATATATATATATATATATTATTTATTTTCATCCCCGTGTGTACGTATATATATGGGAAAGAGAGGAAATAATAAGGGAATATAGAAAGAAAAAGATTTAAGACATTCTTGCTTCGCATTTAATGATCACTCATCTAGTCAAGTTCTCGAATACTAACATAGGTAGAGAAATATTATAATAGTTTTTAAGATATGTGTCAATCCTTTTATTATGATCTTTGAATTAAATTAGCATTAAATTTTCATGATTACAATTTTTCTTGATTAAAAGGGGTTTAAAATACGTATATTTCTAAAATATGATCAGTTGATTTCAAAGTTGTATGACAGTAAGTTCGCTAATCAAGATTTATTGATTAAGCATAGCCAAAGTATTTAACAAAACTGGAAAACAAGAGTCAAAGGAAAAAATACACAATACATATAATATTAGGGTATTATATATGTTTAGATAGTAGTATTTAATTATTTAACTATTTAGAATTATTTCTTTTAGAATTCCTTACCTGCATTCGATTTAAATAATCATAAATAATAATAGACCAACAAAATGGGCAACACTCCATTTCATGTATATAGTGCTACCCTTACCCTTATATGATGCAAGAGAAGGTGCACTTACATGAGAGGCTGTCATAGCAGTTGGAGATGACGAGAATTGCTCAGAAACGAATTGGGAAACTTGTGGCATCTTTGTAGTTAGAGATGTTTCTGGTCTTCCAGAAGTTACAGCACCTGTAACAACGCCAGTTTCTGAAGCGACATCTGCATTACCCTTTGTGGATCCAACAACAATGGCAGATCCTCTGGAGTTTCTAGATGTTGATTGATTTTCATTGTTGGTAAACACTGTGCCAGTGGTGGTAAAAGCAATAGAAGTAACTGAAGTTGCATGGAACACAGCAGAAAATGAGTTGGTCTCTTCTTGTTGGTTCTTTGAATAAACAGATTCAATAGAATTATGGGCAATGATAGCAGTCATACTTGTTTTAGAAGTTTCAGATGGTTCTGGACAATAAGTTGTGGTCATAGTGACTCCATTAACAACTGTAGTCAAAACAACTAAAGTACCAGTTAAAGTAGATCCAGTTTCTCCACCATAAATAGTGGAGTTTCCATATATTGGAGTCTCAACAACAACAACACCAATGGCCTTGGTACTGCCGTTGGAGTCGGTGGTGTAGGAGATGTAGGAGGAAAGGGCAGAAGCTGCACCTACTGAGCCTGCAGTGTAGGCAGTAACAGTACTTTGAACTGGAGTGGCAACAACAACAATGTCAACTTCACTGCTGCTGCCGTTGGCATCAGTGGTGTAGGAGGTGATTGTGGATTGGGCAGAAGCAGAGCCTATGATGCCTGGGATGTAGGAGGTGATTTGACTAACAGCTGGAGTCTCAACAACAACAACACCAATGGCCTTGGTACTGCCGTTGGAGTCGGTGGTGTAGGAGATGTAGGAGGAAAGGGCAGAAGCTGCACCTACTGAGCCTGCAGTGTAGGCAGTAACAGTACTTTGAACTGGAGTGGCAACAACAACAATGTCAACTTCACTGCTGCTGCCGTTGGCATCAGTGGTGTAGGAGGTGATTGTGGATTGGGCAGAAGCAGAGCCTATGATGCCTGGGATGTAGGAGGTGATTTGACTAACAGCTGGAGTCTCAACAACAACAACACCAATGGCCTTGGTACTGCCGTTGGAGTCGGTGGTGTAGGAGATGTAGGAGGAAAGGGCAGAAGCTGCACCTACTGAGCCTGCAGTGTAGGCAGTAACAGTACTTTGAACTGGAGTGGCAACAACAACAATGTCAACTTCACTGCTGCTGCCGTTGGCATCAGTGGTGTAGGAGGTGATTGTGGATTGGGCAGAAGCAGAGCCTATGATGCCTGGGATGTAGGAGGTGATTTGACTAACAGCTGGAGTCTCAACAACAACAACACCAATGGCCTTGGTACTGCCGTTGGAGTCGGTGGTGTAGGAGATGTAGGAGGAAAGGGCAGAAGCTGCACCTACTGAGCCTGCAGTGTAGGCAGTAACAGTACTTTGAACTGGAGTGGCAACAACAACAATGTCAACTTCACTGCTGCTGCCGTTGGCATCAGTGGTGTAGGAGGTGATTGTGGATTGGGCAGAAGCAGAGCCTATGATGCCTGGGATGTAGGAGGTGATTTGACTAACAGCTGGAGTCTCAACAACAACAACACCAATGGCCTTGGTACTGCCGTTGGAGTCGGTGGTGTAGGAGATGTAGGAGGAAAGGGCAGAAGCTGCACCTACTGAGCCTGCAGTGTAGGCAGTAACAGTACTTTGAACTGGAGTGGCAACAACAACAATGTCAACTTCACTGCTGCTGCCGTTGGCATCAGTGGTGTAGGAGGTGATTGTGGATTGGGCAGAAGCAGAGCCTATGATGCCTGGGATGTAGGAGGTGATTTGACTAACAGCTGGAGTCTCAACAACAACAACACCAATGGCCTTGGTACTGCCGTTGGAGTCGGTGGTGTAGGAGATGTAGGAGGAAAGGGCAGAAGCTGCACCTACTGAGCCTGCAGTGTAGGCAGTAACAGTACTTTGAACTGGAGTGGCAACAACAACAATGTCAACTTCACTGCTGCTGCCGTTGGCATCAGTGGTGTAGGAGGTGATTGTGGATTGGGCAGAAGCAGAGCCTATGATGCCTGGGATGTAGGAGGTGATTTGACTAACAGCTGGAGTCTCAACAACAACAACACCAATGGCCTTGGTACTGCCGTTGGAGTCGGTGGTGTAGGAGATGTAGGAGGAAAGGGCAGAAGCTGCACCTACTGAGCCTGCAGTGTAGGCAGTAACAGTACTTTGAACTGGAGTGGCAACAACAACAATGTCAACTTCACTGCTGCTGCCGTTGGCATCAGTGGTGTAGGAGGTGATTGTGGATTGGGCAGAAGCAGAGCCTATGATGCCTGGGATGTAGGAGGTGATTTGACTAACAGCTGGAGTCTCAACAACAACAACACCAATGGCCTTGGTACTGCCGTTGGAGTCGGTGGTGTAGGAGATGTAGGAGGAAAGGGCAGAAGCTGCACCTACTGAGCCTGCAGTGTAGGCAGTAACAGTACTTTGAACTGGAGTGGCAACAACAACAATGTCAACTTCACTGCTGCTGCCGTTGGCATCAGTGGTGTAGGAGGTGATTGTGGATTGGGCAGAAGCAGAGCCTATGATGCCTGGGATGTAGGAGGTGATTTGTTTTGGTTTTGATGATGATGAAGAAGTAATAAAGCTGGAAGAGCCTACAGTAGATGGTATGGAACTAGTGGAATAACTAGAAGAGATACTTGAATATGTAGAAGAAAAAGAAGAAGAGCTAGATGAGATAGAATTTATAATAGGTATCCAAGGAGGGGAATCACATGGCATACAAGCACTAGGAAAACCATTTGGAGCAGTTCCATTGTAGACTAATGCGTTATTGATAAAATTAAAACCAATGTGATTATTTATAGATTTCATTGAAAATCCACGTGGGTTGTAACCAGTACCAATATTAATTTTATGAATAGTGGCCACATTAATTGTTAAGATACCAGTATTTGGATTATAACTATAACCTGCTATTGCAGTACGAAACGTCAAATAGTTGCCATTACCAAAACCTCTAACAAAGATATTATCTGTGTTACCATATGAGCCTACATAAAGCATTGAGGAAGGAGAGCTCAAATATATAGTTTGTGGACCAAGTGTACCAGAGCTTGACTGTATTGGTATCGAATATATAGCATTCTGACCAACTGTAATACAACCGTCACCGGCTATAGAACTCTCCAAAGATGCCTTCACATTTTTCAAACAAATAGTACCAATATTAACAAAAGACCCTGAGGTAAGGTGTACAACACTACTATAATTTGAAGTAGAATCTTGGCCAAAAGACATTAAACCAGTATTTGCTAAAGATATACTTGGATTTAATTTGAAATTGTTAGAACTGCTATCTAGACCTACGAAATACATTTTTCCATGATTAGTAAGTGAAGTACCACCCCAAGACACACTCATTGAACCAGCTGTAAGGTTTCTACTATCAACTACAATCAAACCATCATTTGTAATAGTTGAGCCATCAAATGTAGTGCTGAATCCATCACCATATGGGTTTAAATCACCGATAAAAAGTGAACCTTTCACGTGCAAATCTTTGGTAAAACTGTAAGAGTTCCCGTTAACTAACGCCAAAAAATAACCTTCATCAATGGTAAGGGGGACAGAGAAAGAAATATCGCCTAAATAAGTGTTATCAGATATTGTTACAGCATCTGTAAAGATGAGTAAAAACATTAAAGGTACCAACAAACCTTTAAGAGAACTTATCATTTTGTTTCGGCTTGGTTTTTTGTTGCTGTTATCCTTGCAAAAGTGTAGTAATATTTATAGTTGACATAATCCAATAAGGAGAATAAATCGATGAGAAGTTAGTTACCAGAACGCTGATACCTACACATATTTATATTAAATTTTTTTTATCAATAAGATTTAATGAGTTGTCTATAAGGTAGCATTCATGATTATGGAGTATCCATTTGTCCTTTTGTCCTTGTCTTGTCTTTGAGGAAAATATATAATTCAATAAAAATATTGCCATCAACACTGCTATTATCACTATTTTAATACGATCAGAGACATTGCCTACTACAGGAAATTGTTGGATCCGTTTACTACTATGCATACTTAATATATTTATAGCGAAATGATATCATAACTAAAAGGAACTATCGGTATTAATTATTTATCAGTAATTATATATTCGGTTTCTTTGAAATACATAATACTTCTTACAAAAAGGCAAATGTCATAGTTACCGTATAAAAATAAATATTGTTCATTGATCTGACGAACATACTTTGCTTATGTAAAATAGTAGATAATCTCGCTGATTGTTCAAGAACATAAAAAATCATATATTTAACAATGGTAAGAATGAGGAAAATAGGTCTTTTTTTCTTTATAATCTCCGACCGAAACACCGTTTTTTTCGTTATTTTTTTTTTGGAATAAAAAGAAAACAATAGATGTAATTAAAAAGAGGGAGTGACAAAAAACATCTGAAAGGATTGTTAAAAGACATTTTTACTTTCTATGTATCACAATACTATTTTCATTTAAGGTGCTATTAACCCCTTTGTATTTTCAAATTGATGCTCGTTTTGTGTAAGAGATCTGTGTATCTAATTGTGTCTCATTTTAGTAGGTCTGTCAAGATTCTTGAGTAAAAATTATGGTAAACACTCGCATTTTAGAGTAAGACAACGTAGCGTTTTACAAAAATCATCTCAAGTGCTTCTTCTTTTTTTTTTTCTTGAAACCTAAATATTTGAAATCTTTTCTTTTTTTGTTGTGGAGCATGACAATATATGCAGGTTTGAATGTATCTTACTTGGAAATTCTGGTTACTATTTCCAATAATAGTGGATAGATACTCTGTGTACATTTCTTCTTTTGATCTTATGTGTTATGATTAATAAAAATATTGAATAATTGTCCATCGCCTTGTACATATTGTATATAACTATTACTGTTGTATAATATTTTAGTTAAAGCAGGATTTGGAAAAGTTTATTTTTAACTTTTCTTTTCTCAAGAGAAATATCGGCTAACGACATGGGGGAGCCACTTGTTTAGTAACGATAGTGTGAACAATAATAGTTCTAAATATCTCTTGCATGTCTCTGAATTTTTTTGCATGTACAGATTATTGGCAAATGACTTCCAAATATTATAATTTTTCATGGACATGAGATTCAAAAGCGTCTATTTAGGAAAGTAGAAAGCGGAGGCATAAATTTTTATTAGGCGTTTTTTTGTTTTTGTTTTTTTTTTTCTTTGAATTTTTCAACTAATAAAGAGTTTTCAGAATTCTTCATTAAGATAACTTTGAAGATAACTTAAGCCTGATTAAAAGTTACAATGAATAATACAGTATAGGAAACACATAGGGTGTTCATTATGTAAAAAATAAAAATAAAAATAAAACTATTATTTGTACCAATACGAAAAGAGGATTAATTTTTTGTTTTTTTTTTTGAATACTTTCTAAAACATTATTAGAACATGAACTGTAAAGTATGTAATTGTTAAAAATAGCAAAGGTAAGATTTCTATTCTAAAGTTGTGACCTTCTAAGAATTTTGAAGATACATCAAAAAAATTTTTTACAAGAAAAGGAAAACACTAGATAAAACAAGGAATCTATGACATGGAGCTCCTTTCCTAGGGAATGTGGAATGTCCATTAAATCTTGAGAATAAAATCTTTGGACAAAAATAAAATTTTACAATTGGAAATTTAGAATCTTTTGTTTTTACCTTCCACTTTTTTTTTCCTCATTTTAAATTTCCGTTTTAGTACACTTCCTCCCAGAAAAAAATAAAAAAAAGACTTTGGAAAAACAAAATTATTTATCATATTACTATCTGGGAAATCATCGTAAAAAAAATTTTCAAAAGAGTAAGTGATGATTTTTTTTGTTTATAGATTTTTTTTTTCAGATATCTTGTATAAGCCTCTATTGTTTTCGAAATAATAGGATTATTCTCTTTTTTTTCTTTTGTTTTTGTTTTAAGCAGACTTTTCTATTTTTCAGGAAAAGAGAATTATTCTTTTGTCTTTGTGTTGGTACATTTTTTAGCATTTGGAGATGGACAAATTTTATGTAAAGTCTATTTAATGCCATATGTATTGTTATTTTTAACTAAGTATTTCGGTTTCTCCCTAAAAAATGTCCATAGAATTATCGATTACGGAAGTATTTCTTTTTCTTTGATTAAAGCACAATAAGATTGCGATATTTTTACTGTAAATATACATCTATAACTAATTAGTACAGTACACTTGTATATTGGAATATTTAGAGTAGTGTTTAAATTAAAAAAGAAAAGAAAAATAGTTTTTTTGTATTCAATTTTGGTGATGAAAAAAAATTTACTATGGAGTTATCATTATATGTCCGTAATACAATACGTGTAACGAAAACAATAGGTTCGTAAAATGGTAAGATAGAGTTCGAAAATTACCAAATTTTTTTCAAAATTTATCCAAAAAGGAAATGTGTAAATAAATAAGCAAACAAAAAACTAATTCAACTGTAATTCATGAGGTGGAATATCCGTATTACTCCTATCCATTGTTTCATTTCCACAAAGTTTATCCCGTATTAATAATATTCATTAATATGATTCAACGAGATTGAGAGAAAAACATGTATTTTTGGAATCACTAAAAAAGTTATTGTGAACATTTTTATTTTCTTGTGGTGATTGAACCTAGATAATATCACGTCTTTGGTACCCCATTTAATAGGTAATTACGTTCACCAGTTTTACTGAATTTGGAATCGCTGTTGGATAACTTTTTAATGTTGGTTAGTTTCAATAGATTACTAGGTCTCTTGTTAAAATCATTAGTTTCTTCAGATATGTTTAGTAAACACACTATTACTTGTGATATATCTAGAAGTAATTTATTATTGATTGGCTAAATTTTTGAATATTTAAATTCTTTATAAATCGATAATGGACTACTGGTTTTTTTTTCTGATAAAGTTGAAATAAAATCTATATTACCAATCTTAACTCGGGCACTACAATGTTTTATCGAATGTTTGTAAGGAAAACCTAGAGTATATTTATCTTATCCACAGACATATATCCGTAATTTGAAGTATCTTTTATTCTTTCCAGTTATTTTCAATATATAAGATATGTTGATATTCATAATCCTGCTTTAAAATCTGCTAATATATATCAAAGGAAAGTTCTATTGTATTTTATTTTTGTGTTGTTAGAATCAGTGGGATTGGTTCTGGAAACATGGAATAATAGAAAGTAACTTTCTGCTTTGGTTATAATGGCATTTATTTTTTCCATTGTTTGTTCCAGTGGTTTATTCATTCCTACATCACATATCTGTCTGAGTCATGAAAGAAATTATAATCTGCTTATGATCATGTATTTTTAATATGCAATTACCTGCCTTCCTTGGTCTTTCTAAATTTTTTTTTGATTATTTGCTTTTATTACAATAACGTTATTCACAACTAATTTTTTCAAGTGAGATAATGCACTAGCTTTAAATACTTTATAACCATCCAACTTGGCATTTTTAATTGTTTGTTTATGTAGAGGCCATATACCACACATGTACATATTTGGTTATTCTTTAGAGTTACAAAGAGTCTTGATTGGTATAATCAGTAAAGATTTCTTTATTTTAACAACACTACGTTGCTAGATAGTAGCAAATTGTTTTTGCAGAAAATTTGATTTTGCTGTATTGGATAGTACACAAAATATCATAAACTGCGTTACATTTGTTTGTATCTTCTTTTAATGTTCTACATGCATCTTCAAGTGAAAAATATTGTCTCTGATATGTTAAATGTATGTACTTTTCTTGATATTGCATGATAATTCAACAGGTACACCTAAATTGTACTTAGGCATTTGTACTGAGGGGATTTCAATTTTTTGTTATCTTGAAGGGGGAGAAATATAGTGTTTGTCAGATTGTTGTTTTTAGAATACGCTGTAACAGATAATGATTAATTCTTTATGTAAAAATTTCTTTGGTACTAAAAAAGATATAAGATAGAAGAAAAGGTAAAGAAAACTTTTAAAAGTTGATTGTTGTAGGTTAGTTAGCTTTTCCTATACATGCATCAATCCTAGAAGCCTTCCTATTTAATATAAAAAAATCATTTTTTATATGCTTTAGATATGTTCCTATAAGGATAAAAATATGTTTTTTTTTTATTTTTAATTAACAAGAAAGAAGTATAGGTTATAGAAGGAATCAATTTTTGGTACTTTTTAAAGCCTTTTTTTATAAAATGTAGCATTTAGATTTTGAGAATTAGCACCTTTGTGTATGTATTGAGTTAAATATATGCTCAATTACATTCTATAATTATTAAATAGTTTTAGTACTCAAAAATACGACAAGGCTATTCCCTTTTCTACTTACACAAAGTATGTAGTTAAGAATGTACAAAAAAATTGTAAATAAAATATGAATATAACACAAGGAGATGGCCTTTGGTCTTATATATACGATTTATTGAGTAGTTTCTCTCTGCGAACAACAAAAATAATAACCAAATAGTTTTATTAATGTTTATTGATATGTAAACTGTTAAAATAGAATGTTCTATGATGAAATAGATAGAACAATAAGATTTTAGCAGACATTAAACGATAAATTGTTGGGTAATAATCGTTGAGAGTTCACCAAAAGTTGTTGAGTTTGTTTATTAAATATCTTACTGTTTGTAGAAGAAAATGGCTGAATGTTAACATATATAAAGCCAAGGATTTCATCAT